CCAAAAAATTAGGGTTTCGTTCGCCGAATCGTCGTCGGAAGAATCCGACGCCGCGGCTTCCGCCGGATCGAAGAGGAAAACCCACGGGGTCGTCGTCCGCCGGAAGAAATCGAAGCCCAAGGAGAAATCCCCGCCGGGCCTGAGGATACGGCTGAAAATGAAGCCCAATTCCCCCGAGAAAGAGCTGCTCCCGCTCGGCGTGCAGCGGAGGAAGAGGGGAAAGTACGCGTCCGAGATCAAGAACCCCCTGACGAAGAAGCGGATCTGGCTGGGGACCTTCGCCACGGCGGACGAGGCTGGCGCCGCCTACCTCGCGAAGAAGGAGGAGTTCGAGGAGAAGCTGCGGGCCAAGCAGGCCCGCGATTGTGCCCGACGCGGGAAAAAATTGGCGAATCGGGAGTCGCCGACCTCGGTGCTGAAGGTTGTGGCAGCGGAAGGGGGGATTTCCGGCGGCGAAGCGGCGGCGGAGTTTGGGTTTTTTCGGGGCGTGAGGGTCTTGGACGAAAACGGGTGTCTATTGGGCGAGTTTAGGAGGCTCGACGATCTGAGTATACTTGCAGATGAGAATGGCGTAATTTTAGCAAGATGAGGCTTTTTTTTCTTTTTTTTTTTTTTTTTATTTGGTTATTTACATGAGATTGGTAATTAACTAAATTGGGGGAAAATTGATTAGTGATTAGTGGTTGAGTTGATCAGACTCCAGATAGAATAGAGAAATTGTTACTTTTTTCCCCTTAACAAAAGAAAAGGATTTTCTCTTACGAATTGATTAGTGATTAGTGATTAGTGATTAGTGGTTGAGTTTTAAGGGACTCCTAAAACCAAGCTAATCGTTCTTCCCTTGGTAATAATTTTCTCTCTAAAACCAAATCCCTAATTCGCAAAGAGGCTCTAGGATTTTTTGTCCCCTTGGTATTGCGTAGTTCATTCTTCTTGTTTCACTTTTGTAATTTGGTGGTTGTTTGTTTGTTTTGTGGTTGAGTCAGCCTAGTTTCTAAGCTCCTGGCTCTGGGATGCGCTCATACTAGGCTCAGCTAAATGGTTATTTGGCTTATTCTAACTGTTGTCTAGTTGTAATTATGTGTGTTTAT